AAGGAAGAAGATGGGACTCGGTGACGTTGTAACATCCAACTTCTGCACCACAGTTCTTCGCGATGGACTGGCACTCTACCCCAGCGCGGACAAGTAAACTACCAGCAACAACATACTTCTTCGGTATGTTCATCTCCCAAGATGCATGTAATCCATAATAGGGAAAGGGTGCAAAGAAGGACGTGTGGGTATTTTCACTGTCCCAAAGCTCCATCGTCTTGTTTGTCGTTACGGGCAGAAAAGGTGGATTCAACAACGCATTGTATTCCGTGATGACAAGCGCTATCAAACCGGAGGGCGCTGCAGTCCCAGGGATAAACGAAATGAAGTTTCCTGCCCCCTCCACAGTCGCCGGCCAACCACCAAACAGTCTACCGTCCCGGGTGTAGTACGAGGCGCACAACAGCACCGACTCTTTAAAGGCCGCAATGCCGTTGATCTCGCAGTAGTACGTTGTGTTGCTGGGCAAAAGTATCACCCCAGGAAAACAGTCAACGATACTCGCCAGCGAGTTCTCTAGACCAAACGAAGACGACCCCAACGCACCCCCATCAGCGGCCTCAACGTACTTTGCATAATCGGACTGCACCGCATGACATGGAGAAAACAACAACCCAACAAACACAAGAAACTGCTGCAGCAAAAAAACACAAAACGACGTCCCCCGTGGCATGTGAAAAAGCCCACCGCAAAAAAGCGAGACGTTTTCGTCCATACAATACAATAATAATGCTAATAATAGGCAATAAATTGAAGTTTAAAGGATCAAATTGTTCCAATCCATGCATATAAGCTAATACCAACGCCAGAGACAGACCGTGCCTCCACACTAACCTTCCCTACACAAAATAACTAAGCAACACATACAAAAAAAAGAAACTTTATAAAACCCAACACAAAAAAAATCAATAAAAACACAGAAAAAAAAAGGCCCTAAGAAATGGATACACAAATTGCTCAATACACCCGCTTCGCACTCGCCACCGTAGTCGCCAATCACAATGTCGTCAACCACATACCGGCGTTGGTTGTACAGAGACGCCAAGAACGACTTGCGGTCCTTCACCCACTCACGACTGCCCAGCGCCTGTGAGAGCACCTCGCCAGCAATCCACCCAGCAACCATCATCTCACCGTCGCCGTCATCCTTCAGAAAATGGTCCTTGTCGGCATAGTACTTTTGCCCACTGTGCGTCAGATATGCCCGCATCACCTTCTGGAAGCGCTGGATGGCCTCGTACTGTGTGTCCTTCGCCAGCGGGTTCGTCCCCGTCGTGATCACCTGCCCAGGCACAAACTCAACACCGCCAGCCACAGCAGCACACCACATGCAGCCTCCAAATAGGAGATGTGCTTCGTATACGCCTTCACCAAGGCGTCGCGTTGCTTCAAAGCAGGGCTGGACGCAAGAAACCCAAAGAAAAAAACAGAGAAGTGCAGCAAAAAGGTGCGATAAAGCGCAGGAGAAGGTCGCACCACTCATTTCTAAAAAAATACCAGCAGAAGCACGACCAGCGT